GTTGGAGATATTATATGATGTCTGCGTAGGATTTTGGTTGTTTAGGTTTCAGGATGTTCGCAGTTTGTGCAGTCTTACCCTAGACCCTAAACCCCTACAACCCCTAAACCCTCTACATCCCATACCCGGCGCCCTCTCTCTGAGGCCGGCGGCCCCGCGCGCAGCAGCCGCGCCACCAGGAGCGCATCTAGGAGTGCATCGCCCCGGTGCCAGACGTGACCCCCGCAGGCGGACCTCATGGCAGCTTCGGGTTTGTTGGGGCTTGGGGTTGAGGGTGGCGGGTGTAGCTTTTAGGGTCTGCGAGGGCTGCTGCGTCGAAGGTGCTATTGAAGGGATGTTCATGAAAGTAGGACAAACTCGGGCTTAGGGCCGCTAAACCCAAAACCCTAAACCCTGAACCCTAAACCCTAAACCTAGTTTGGGGCTTTGTGAAGAAAGCGAATCTGCCTGAGGCCGGGGCAGCTGCTTGATGAGGAGCCCGATGGCAGCGCATTCCTCGATCATCTCCCATCATGGATGGGAGCCACGTCTGCATAAACCCTAAACCCTAAACCCTAAACCACACTGGCAATTGCAAGCACCGAATTCAAACCGACGGCTCGCGAGTGGTCCGGCGCGTCTGCTTGGCGGCATGCATCGCTGCAGTACCCGAAACGCGCCTGGTTTAGCGTTTAGTGTTCAGGATTTAGGGTTTAAGGTTTAGGATTTAGGGAGGGTTTCGGATGTAGGGTTAAGGGTTTAGGATTTAGGGTTTAGGGTTTAGGGCTTAGGGTGGACACTTTGCTTCACTGCCTGCGGCTTGGGATCAAGGTATGGGGTGGTTGCTCCAAACCCGAACTACCCCCCACAACGTAAACCCCTTCTGCCTTTCTGGTAGCCGGGGGATGTTCTGTGACGGCACTCTCGGCCGAGAAGATTTGTGCTTCTGCTGACAGCTCGTCAATGCCAAGAATCTTAAGCAACCCTAAACCCTAAACCCTAAACCCTAAACCCTGATACCCTGAACCTGGGAGTGAAGCCACATACACTCTTTCAGGCCTCTAACTCATGGTCTGTTCTGTGGATACTTAAAAACTTAACCTAAAACCTAAAGCCTCAAAGTTTTAGAACCCTAAACGAAACTCCAGCACCCCTTGACACTCTAAACCCCTAAACCCCGAAACCCCTAAACCCCTAAACCCCTAAACCCCTAAACCCCCTAAACCCCTAAAACCCCTAAAACCCCTAAACCCCTAAACCCCTAAACCCCTAAACCCCTAAACCCCTAAACCCTGTCTGTCTCGCCTGGATCGTCCGACGACCGCTTCATAAACCCCTCAACCCCTCCCCTAAACCCCTAACCCCTAAACCCCTAAACACCGAAACCCTAAAACCCTAAACACCCCAAAACGTACAACCCTTTACACTCTCAAAGCTGAACATGAGCCCAGTCGCACAGCCGCTGCATAGTCGGAGGGGCAGACGCCGCAGGCAGAGCGCACAGCAGTGCGCTGCATTGGCCAAGCTCACGCCAGCCACCAAAGCCTCCGACACCAGCGCTACCTGCCAGGGTCTCGACTTCAGGGCTACACCCCAAACCCTAAACCCTGAACCCGCAACCCTAAAACCCTATAAACCCTATCAACCCTACAAACCCCTACAAACCCCTATAAACCCTATAAACCCTCTAAACCCTCTAAACCCTATAAACCCTATTGACCCTATAAACCCTATAAGCCCTATAAAACCTATAAACCTTATACACCCTATACACCCTATACACCCCATACACCCTATAAACCTGTAAACCCTATAAACCCTATAAACCCTAAATCCTAAACCCTAAACCCTAAACCCTAAACCCCTCGCCTCACCGCTTGCGAGCGCCCTCACGGCCCGCAGCCCACGGCCCTGGCCCGCGTGCTCGACGACTTCGGCGGCCCCGAGGCTGCGCCCCACAGCCACCGGCATCCCAGGGGTTTCGGGGGGGGGGGGTTTGGGATGTTTAGGGTTTAGGGTTTAGGGTTTAGGGTTTAGGGTTTAGGGTTTAGGGTTTAGGGTTTAGGGTTTAGGGTTTAGGGTTTAGGGTTTAGGGTTTAGGGTTTAGGTTTTAGGGTTTAGGGTTTAGGATGGTTTAGGGATATTTGGGGCTCAGGAGCTGTCAGGGTCTTAGGAGCCACAAGAGGGTTTGTTCTGGGGGTTTGGGGGGCTGGGGGGGTGTTAAGAGTTCAGGTTTTTGGTGAGCTTCCGAGAGTCTAAGTGTGTCAGGTTGCGGGCTTCCAGGAGTGAAGAATTAGGTTTAGGGTTTAGGGTTTAGGGTTTAGGGTTCAGGGGCTGTCGGCTGCATGAGCAAGAGCCGCAAGAAAGGCCGTGATGGATTGCCTGCCCAATTTTTTGAGCTCGAAGCCTGCGCTTCGCCACTTAGGGCTTCGGGATTCTTAGGGCTGGGGCCTAAACCCTAAACCCTAAACCCTAAACCCTAAACAGTAGACCCTGGACCCGAAATATAGGAGCCCTGCCCTTCTCAGTCTTCCCTTACCGTAGCCCCAGAGCCGCGCCACAGCCATGCTCAAGGGAATACTTAGTTGTCCAGTACCTGGGGGTTTTAAAGGTTAACCTGTGATATTATAAGGAGAATATATTAACCCAAAAAGGTTAAAGGTTATCTACTCTACTACTAAGAATATGCCAGCCGGAGCTCTGCATGGGATGCTCAAATCGCTATCGCCCTTGTTTCATACAGAAGGGGGCGGTTCTCTAGTGGTCCTGAATGTAAGGTGGGGCCGACAGGGGACCGATCTTACCGACCAAAGTTACTAGTGGGCAATGGAACCCCAGAAGCACGAAGCTGCGTGAAAATGATCACAAAAAGCTGAACCCGCAGCCGCCTAAGCCCTATAGTCCTATAACTCTCAGCACATTCTTCCCTTTTCTCCACCGGATCTGGGGCGCCCACCAGGAGACTTCGGCGCCGCCGATTCATCACCTGAACGAGCTCTGGCCGCGGACCAGGAGAAGAAGATTAGGAAGACCAGAAGAAGATTAAGAATAAGAAGAAGCAGAAGAAGAAGATTGAGAACAAAAGAACAAGGTAAATTGTTCTGGAAGATGCGAATAAGAGCAAGAAGAAGAGGAAATTGCCATTGCTCGTCACTACTGCCTATGTTGAGAGATTCTATGAAACCATCAATAAGACGGTGGTGGTGTTGGTGGTGGTGGTGGTGGTGGTGGTACTACTCCCATCCCACGGCATAGAGAGCTAAGTCCTGGACCATGCTGACAAGGGCCGCCGCTCTCCCAGTTTCGCAAAGCCGGGGAAAATACGAACAAGAAATGTCATGACGCGAAATATGATGATGATAGTGGCACCTCTGGCTGTCTGTAGCTCTACTCTACGTCAGAGGCCATCGGAATGCTTGCGCGTAGTCTCTGCATGTTTGCCCGTTGCTCAAGGTCTCTTTCTCGCATGCACATGTGCTGTAGGAAAGGCTCTTGCAACAGCTGCGGAGGCCGGAATCAGCGCCAGAGTAGAGGCCGGTGATGGGATTCAGTAATTTAAAGGAGTCATATGAAGTAATAATTAGGGCTTAAATTCCTTGTATCCCCAAAAGGACACCCAATATATACACTCCATATGAAAATGGAAGCTTATATACACTTGCCAGTAACTGTAATGTAAAATATGTTTCATATACTACAAGAGATTAGGGGGGTTAGGGTTTAGGGTTCAAGCACGCGACGTTTTGCCTGCTGCTTGGCATGTGCCCTCGTGGGCTACAGTCGGCTTTAAATGATTCAGCTTGCATGAAGACCCCTTCATGTCGAGCGGGCAGATTGTAGACATCTTCGCAGCACCAACTGATGCATTCCAGAATCTCATGGGCATGGCATTGCTATGGGCAGCCAACGCAGCGGCACGGGCGAAGATTCATTGAAATCAAGGCACACGACGGCACGGGCAACGGCTTCCGAGTAGTCGAGGCAGTCGAGAAGACCGGCATTTCAACCCTAAACCCCAAACCATTGACCATATTCCTGAGGTTCCCTGTTGGTGTTCCCATCTAAAACCCTACCCCCAAAACCTCGACCCTAAACCCTAGACCCTAAACGACAAGGACCCCTTTGGTTCGGGCTCGTGGGTATTAGCTGGCGGCAGCTTCGCCCTGGCCGAACTGGGGAAGCGTCAGGCCCCCAGTGGCCCCGAAAGTGATCTCAAGCTCCTTCCAAGCTTGTTAAGGGGGATAAGGAGGGACCCCTGGAAGGGACCCTTTGTAACCCCTACATACCTAAGTGACCCGCTCCTTTAGCCCCTTGGGCTTGCCTTCAGTTGGCAGAAAGGGGTCAGGTTCAGGGTTTTGGGGGTCTAGGGGTTTAGGCTCTAGGGGTTTAGGGTTTAGGGCCTTTAGTGTTTAGTTAGGGTTCACTGGTACTGATAATAAGGGTCATCTATTTGCTTCAGAACCAACAGAAAAATAAAGAACAATAATCCCTATATTGCCTTTACAAGGAAGAATAGTTTGTGTGTTTTGGGTGGTTATTGAGCAAATAACAGAGGAGTTCAGGTTCACGATTTAGAGGGTTAAGTTCTGGAGGTTGACGGCTTAAGGTTGGAGATTTTGGGGTTTAGGGGCTTTGGGGGTTTGAGGGCTTTGAGGGCTTAGGGGTTTAAGGGGTAACAAGAAACGGCACCCGCTCTCTACATTGTTGAGGGTTTAAGGTGTCGGGCTTGGGGCTAGCAAGAAGGGACCCCCGCCCTCCATACCAATCATTGTCCCTTGCGGGCCTGCTGGTGGGGCACCTAGCGCCCCTGCACCTCAAGAACCGGAATTCGGAGAAACCCGAAAGCCTACACCCTACACCCTACACCCTAAACCCTAGACTCCTAGACCCTAAACCCTAAACCCTAAACCCTAAACCCTAGCCCTAAACCCTAAACCCCTCAAGCCTAGGAGTCCAAACTCGCGTCCTCATCCACCACTCGCTCAGGCCGGTGGAGGCCACGAGCCCTGGCAGAGCGAAAAAAGAAAGATTAGGGTTTAGGGTTTAGGGTTTAGGGTTCAGGGTTCAGGGTTTAGGGTTTAGGGTTTAGATTAGGGCTTCTTGCTCGAGTGTTTATGCATAGACATAGAGAGAGAGAGAGACAAAGAGAACATTGACATATACCCACACACCTACATGTGTCAACAAATGTGTACTCTGCTTTTTCGCGGCCATGCCTATACCACTGAGCTTCTTTTTGGAGGGCTTTAGAGGTCCATACCACGGCAAAAGCGTTGAGCTTAGGATAGAGGGGCTTCGGGTTACCAAGTCTTGGCAGCCCTACGCCGCCAAAAAAATTTAAAAAAAAACTAAACCCCAAACTTATCCCCCAAACCCCCCAACCCCTACAACCCTAAGCCCTAAACCCTATACACCCCAAACTCAATCCCTCAACCCTTAACCCCAAGTTTCGGGAGTCCCGCGCGAGGCCGAAGGCATCTCTCTTTTTGTCGCATCAGCGGCTTCGCAGGGAAGGAACTTCTCTGCTCACCTGTGCCAGGCATGCCCCTGATGTTCAGGCTTTCTGGATTAGGGTTTGGGGTTTAGGGCCACTATGGTAACTCAGTCTACGTCCCTAAACAACCTGTGAATAAATAAGTACCTCTATACATAAAGGTATACATACGTATGGGTGGCTGTCAGAATTATGATCCCTTTTGGGGTAGCCTAAATATTTGGTGCCGTATTATATTAGGTACCCCAAAAAAGGGATCATAACTTTGACTGTATATATATATATATATACTTGTGATATGACGCTAGATTGCCGCAGGAAGAGCCCGGTGTGCCTGGCCTGCTGCAGCACGGCCTCCGCATCGCAACGAGCGGGCCGGTCCTGCGCCTCAGGTTCCTGAGACATTTGGGGACATTTGGGGTGTTGCTTTAGGGGTTTAGGGGTTTAGGAATTGAGGGTTTAGGGTTTAGGGCTTGGGGGTCTATTGGGTCGCGGTTGCGGGGTCTAGGGTGTAGGGGTTTAGGCGTGCCGGGGTCCAGGGAGTAGGGCTTGAGGCTTAGGGTTCGGGGGGTCTAAAGGGGTCTAGGGGTAGATATGGGTTTACAAAGGGGTTCAAGGGTTGGGGCGCATCGCCTCGACTGCTGGCCGCCCAGCAGCCTCGAAGGCAGCAACTAGGGCCTCCACCGCCGCCCTGGGCAGTAGTAGTAGTAGTAGTAGTAGTAGTAGTAGTAGTAGTAGTAGTAGTAGCAGTAGTAGTAGTAGGAGCAGCAGTAGTAGTAGTAGTAGTAGTAGTAGTAGTAGTAGTAGTAGTAGTAGTAGTAATAGTAATGATAATCTATCATCGTTGCGGACATGGATGCTCTGCCAAAAAGCCACGAAGTGTCGTAAATACCGATGTTTCAGTTTAACAGCCCAAACCCAAACTGGCAAGGCGTACGGTGCAGGTACATGTAGAAAGAAGAAAAGACAAAGGGGCACTGGAGCCTGGAATGTGCGCCAAAACTAGGTTTTAGCACTGGGAATCGAAGAAAATGACACCGTCGCGAATGGTACCGACACCTAGTAGTAGTAGTAGTAGTAGTAGTAGTAGTAGTAGTAGTAGTAGTAGTAGTAGTAGTAGTAGTAGTAGTAGTAGTAGCAGTAGTAGGAGTAGCAGTAGTAGTAGTAGTAGTAGTAGTAGTAGTAGTAGTAGTAGTAGTAGTAGTAGTAGTAGTAGTAGTAGTAGTAGTAGTAGCAGCAGTAGCACTAGCAGTAGCAGTCGCAGTAGAAGTAGCAGTAGTAGCCCAAACCCCTAACCAAGCCAGCCAGTTCGAGCAAGAGCAAGTACGAAAAGCACGAAAAGGAAAAGCAAGAAGAACAGGAACAGCAACAGGAATCGGAACAGGACTAGGACTCATCGTGATGGCTGCAAGGGCCGCTACAGCGTGCTTCCGGCGCCTCTGCTGCGATCGAGGTGACAGTGGCGTGGCGTCTTCCAGCTGCACGCCCTGTCCAGGCAGCCAAGATATGGCAATTTCCGAAATTGGGGGGGGGTACCTTCCTGGGGTCCTGATTATGAGGGAATCCTACTATTTGGGGGTCTATGTTAGGGGTCCGTTATTTTCGTGAGCCCCCATATGTGTTTAGGGCTTAGGCGGCTCAGCGTCCCTTAAATCATCTTAAAGGATCCCTGAAAGAGCTACATTCCTGAACCTCCAAACAAGGCCAGCGACACACAGCGGGACCATGCCTTCCGTCGGGCGAGCAAGCGCCAGTTCAGAATTGAGAGCTGGCTGCCAAGCCACAAGACCCACTCATGTAGGAACAGCGGCTCCTGCTCAACTGAGGCACGATGAGAGAGTTCAGGGTTTAGGGTTTAGGGTTTAGGGTCTAGGGCTTAGGGTTTAGGGTGGATGACATGACCCTTGTGCTCCCGCATCTCTTCCGCACGCGGAAAGCCCGCCCATGCGACAAAGCCACGATGGTAGACGTCTGTGACCTCGCAGACGGGCGTCGCCGGCAAGAGTTCTTGATGTGATCATCAAGTTGATAGCATGCTGAAGGCTGCCAGTGGGGAACATGATTGCTCGAGAACATGTATATACATATATATACACACATATATACGTAGATGTAAATGCATGTCATATATATATGTGTGTGTATGCATTATATTCATATGCTACATCTTCCTATGTTTATATACATATATATATATATGATTTTATGAGACTCGACGATGACTCCCAAAAACTCCAATAATGCGGGGAACATGACGCAAAACTGAGGGACCTCCGAGCCGCTCAAGGGCTTGATGCAGCGGCCGTGGTCCGCAGCCACGGCAGCCGGCTGCCCAGTCTTAGGGTTGAGGGTTGAGGGTTGAGGGTTGAGGGTTGAGGGTTGAGGGTTGAGGGTTGAGGGTTGAGGGTTTAGGGTTTAGGGTTTAGGGTTTAGGGTTTGGGGCACTTCTACTTCCACAGCTCAGATGCAGACAAACGCGGGCACCAGCAAAGTACTCACGTCCAGAGCGGCAATGGGGCTGCATCAAGGAAGAAGGAAGTAACACGCAGCCAAACCGCCTCGCCATCGTCTTCTAGCGGCTCGCTCTCGGTGTTCATCCCTGGCACAGGCACACTCTCTCCACCCTGAACCCTCAAACCTAAACCCGAAGCCCTAAACCCTAGACCCTATGCGACAGCTGTGTGACCTGCAGCTCTCGAAGGGCCTTCCTGCCGCCGCCGGAGGCTTGCACGGGCCTCTGCCACGTGCACCACGTCTTCCACCCACCTTGGCTAGCCCGAACATCCCTTGTTTAGGATTTAGGGTTCAGGGTTTAGGGTTGGGATCCAGAATAAGTAAAGGCAAAAACAAGGTAGCAAAAGGTAATAAGGAAGGTACCGGTGCCGCCCTCAAAGTTCTTTTAACCCTTTGCGGCCACCTCTTTTTTTGGTTTGGCCAGCATGGACCTGCCAGGCGGGAATCCATGCGTTTTCCTAGGAAAAGGCTTTTAAAAAATAAGTAAACAAAAAGGAGAAAGATAGATAGCAAAACAGAGGTAACAACAAGGTAGAACAAAAGGCAACATAAAGGCAAAAACAAGTGAGGGCGACCCCGTACGTATTTTGCGCCTTTTCAGGACCTTTTGTTTCACCTCTTGTAATTAATTGTTTGATTGAGGATAGCAGATACCAAATAACTTTTCACAGCCCTAAACCCAAAATCTAAAACCCGCCGGGGTGGGGGGAGGGGGGGGGGGGGCTGGGGGCTATGAGAATGGGGATTTCAAACAATATTCCAGCAAAGGAAGGAAAAAAAAAATATATATATATATATATATTGTCCACCTGCCTAATATATGCTGCCCAGGGCCTATCCAGCATCCCATGCAGGATGATGACGTATCATCAGTGGCATACGCAGCCCTTTTCATGCAAAGGGCCAAGTGAGGAAGCTGCGAAATGAGACATATTTGGTCTCGTGAAGTCAGCTCGATACAGATGGATCAGTTCCATCGAAACTCGTGCGCACACGAAAAATCCAAGACATTTTTGAAACACTTCTGCTGCGAAATGAGACATATTTGGTCTCGTGAAGTCAGCTCGATACAGATGGATCAGTTCCATCGAAACTCGTGTGCACACGAAAAATCCAAGACATTTTTGAAACACTTCCCTAGGTTCAAGGGTGGGTCAGTGGGCCCAGGAATCACTTGAGTACGGAAGATGCGGGCAGCAACTCAAGTTGGACGAACAAATTCGAGGGTCAAGGTGAATTGTCCACCTGCCTAATATATGCTGCCCAGGGCCTATCCAGCATCCCATGCAGGATGATGACGTATCATCAGTGGCATATGCAGCCCTTTTCATGCAAAGGGCCAAGTGAGGAAGCTGCGAAATGAGACATATTTGGTCTCGTGAAGTCAGCTCGATACAGATGGATCAGTTCCATCGAAACTCGTGTGCACACGAAAAATCCAAGACATTTTTGAAACACTTCCACAACGCTTTCCAATATGGTAAGTCTGCGTCACAAGCAACAATCACTGAAAGGCCTTGGCTAAGGCTGCCGGAAGTTCTAGTGATGCCTGCTTGGCAGCGCGCTGTTGAGGCACAGTCAGCAGGTGAAGTTGCTTCGAAACTCTGCAATGCTTGGCATATCGTCGAACAGACTCAAATGAAGACCAGCATCCACGTTGTTGTATATCCTGAAGAGTACGGTGAGACATCAGATAATCGTGACTGGCGCCTCCATGTCTCAAACAGTGGGGCGTCAGCTTCAACTTCTGAAGCTTGAGGTTCGCAACGGAGGATTTGAACTGCTTTTCAAACTGTGCCAAAGTGAATGGAAACAAGCAACTGCAAGACATGTCGGTGTGAAGCACATAGATACGCCCAAGAAGTGAGCCAACCCACTCACGACCAGCAGAGCCCACGACTAGGCTATCGTTGAACTCACCAACCTTGGAGGGTTCACCTAATTCATGGGGGTGTAGCAGCAAAGTCCAGAAGGAATAACGCTTGCCAACTCCTTTTGCCGGTGGAATAACGTTGTCAGCTGTCAAACTGCAAACTCTACCATTAGTATCAAAGCACAACACCACTGCAGCTGCAAAATAGGGCAAGCCTCGAAGCAACATGTCAAAAGCAATCAAGTACGCGATCTCCAATGGACATGGGTCTCGGGATGAACTGGGCTCGAGGTTGCCCCAACCACGCTTGGCAGCTTTCGTCATTGGATAATTCGATCTACACGAGGTAGGCCACATGGGATATTCAATGTTACAATTCTGCAAAGCACACGTGAGAACATATTTTGACGCCCCATCGAGAAATTGTTGCTCTGCGTAGCCTTCCAAAGCAGCATCCAACTGTGTCATACTCACAAAACGAGCGCGATCTGTCGTGAAGGATTGCGAGCTGATTCCACATACCTCAAGTGCCAACGGATCCGAGTGCAAATCTGCAAGGCACCTGCACGTCGACAAAGCGCTAACAGACTGAGGTCTTTTGCTCGCCCTTTATCAAAGGCACAAACGGCAGCAAGATTATCGCAGAGGCAAAGCAGGCGCTTGCCATGAGTGCGACAGTCCTTTGCTGCTCGCCGTAGCCCCATCAAAGCAACCCGGCCTTCTTTCATATGAATGGCCTCTGCATGCTTCCACAACCTTTTGATGACCGTCTGCCATCGAGATGGCGCTAGCAGAGTATCCGGCAACGTCGGAACCAAACCAACCAAATCGACTGATTGGAAGCGTCTTGAGTGCTTGTTGGGGCGGTCGTCCTCAGCTGTGCCAGCCTCAAGCTGTCCAGTGGCGGGGTGTGGGATTCCTAATCGGTCACACAGCCAACGAACATACGCCAGGTCTGGCATTTCAAACTCGGCAGACCACCCATGATGAGAACCAAGCCCAACACCGATACCCTCTTCAACTTGCACAAACCGCCATCGTTCATGGAACCTGAAGAGCTCCCTCTGTTCAGCAGCGTCTGAAGGCGACACTTGCACGCAATAGCCATATGAACTAGAATCGCCACAATAGATGGTGTCATTGTAAGGGGAAGCCATGTCAACTTCCACCTGCGGAATTAGCCCTATGATCATGCGGAGCTCACGCTTCACCGACCCGGGCAGGACATGCGCTTTACCATCCAGCCAGCGATAGATGAACTTGTACACATGATGCAAGCAACTGAGACCAGGCCGGCAGATTGAAAAGTAGTGGACAATGTGGCCAGCGATCATTCGTAGCGCTTCTGAGGTCACTTTCTTCAATCGAAGCAAATGTTTTAGCGCCAGGTACAACCGCCATGACCTCTTTTTGGAATGTCTGATCTTCATCTCCCGGGTGTGCAACACAATCCCCACATTCGAAATCTCATGAAGACCCCTTTCGAGCTCATGCAGTACGAAGCCAGCCTGTTCGAGATGTTCAATCGACTCGGCAAATGAGTGGTGCACCATCTTTTCAACAAAGCCGAACACTCCAATGTTGTCCACATACACACTGCCAATGGGACCTTGTCGCGGATCTGGAGGAGGTAGGCCTTCTTTCACAAAACGTGTCGGTGGGATGCTCTTGCTCATGCCGTACTCAACAGCCGTATTACAAAGGTGCAGTGCCCACGACCATCCTTGTGGCATCCCAGTGAAGACCGGAAACAATTTCTCATGTGGCTCTACGTCAACATAACTTTGCGACGTCGCGCACCAAACCTGACTGATGTTGAACTCAGAGGCCACAATGGGATCATCCAATCCAAACCATTCTGCAAGTGGCCACACGCTAAATTGATAGAAGGCGTCACTCACGTCGGCTGTGTCGCCAAACAAGGCGGTGGGTAACTCCACCAGGCCTCCGCAACTTGGCAAAGGGCACTCTAAATCTGGTCCCTCCACAAAGGCATCAACTTCACTCAATGCTGTGGCTCCTCCAAGGCGGGTTCGAGGGGGGGAGCGATGACAAGCATTTGTCATCCTCGCATCCACGATCATTCTGATGCCTTTGCGACTAGCCTTCCAAACGAAGAACAACCCAACCTTGGCAGAGATATTCTTTCTGAAACTGAGCAGGGACTTGCGATGTAGTTGTCGATAGAGTTCCAATCGCAGTGAACGATCTCTCCGTAGTGACTCATCCCAATACGGTTGAAAGCTTCTATTCTCACTTGTCCAAGCATCAATCTCAGACTGGCTCCTCAGAATGTGACTCGAAGGATCCAGTATGTACTCTGCCTCAGTCGGCGGAAGCAAGCTCGTGGCTTCCTTGGGAACTGTCGCTGACTTGGTGACCTTCAGTAGGTCAGGGTTGTAAGGAGCAACTGTTGTCGAAGACAAAGAATAGAGGTCTTTCGACTTCAGAATGTCTTGAAAACAGTCCTTCGGATTCATGCCAACAGGGCACCCTCCCATGTTTCTGACACCGGATGCCAGCCTCTTCAAAGCTGAGGACTGTGCTCGGGTAGGAGCGCCCGTCGACTGATGCCCATCAACAAAAGCTCCTCGCCTGGCGCTGACTGCGGAAGCAGCCGCCATACCATTGAGGCTGGTGACCGCCTCAGAGATCCTGCCGGTCTGTCTGCGGCTGAACCCCCATGACTCATCACCCGCGCCAGTGAGGGTAGAGGAGGTACGAACCCTACGCCTTCTCCATGACAAAGTAGGCAGGGGGAACAAATCGTCTCTACCACCTCCATGAAATGAATTCTCACGCAAAACACCAGGGGCATGATTGTTGTTGCCGCCCCCCTGAAGGCGGCCATCGGAGGCAGTCATGATGACTGGGCGGCCTCTGATGGGCCGCCTTTCTTCTTCTTCTTCTTGTTCGTCTTTCCTCCTGATGGGGCCGCTTCATCTTCATCGTCCTTGTCCTGGTTGAAGCGACCAGCCCGGCGTCGCTCACTGGCTTGTTCCTCACGCCATTCCCTGGTTGACTTCAAGGTCTTAGCTTCGATCTTCTGTTGCTCTGCAATCCACTCGGCATAACCACCCGCCCTTGCTCCGCCAACTTCATCAACCGTTCCACGGGTGTTGTAGTCAAAGGCATCAAAGGTCGGGTGCTTTGGATTTCGACGGACTGCAACCTGGATCTCTAGCAAGCGTCTGACAACCTGTTCTACACTCGCGAGATTGCTGCAGTCAACCTGATCATAGCTGATGGCCAGCTTGAGGATGGCGATGAGGTTCTTGTACTCGTGAGCGGCTGCACTGTTGTCAGAGAGTCCGGACTTTCGAAGGAACGAGGCATGGTGCGTTGTCAGGTCTCCGCCGTTCTCTGCCACCGATTCCAGGAAGTCCCGGACCGCCTTAGGACCACGGTGCGGCCAGTCATCAAACTTGCTGTCACACATCTTCTCCAAGGCACGCGTCAGCGTAAGTTGTCGCTTCCCTGACGCGAGCTTCTCGCATGCCATCAGCCTCAGGTCACCTGCATCACCGCCGGGCAGGCCAGGTCGCTTCTTCTCCTTCCATGCGTCGAAATCACTGACGAGCTCCAAGCTGACCAAGGTATCACCAAGGAGATGCAAACGCTTCTGCTGATCTCCAACCGTCAGAAGTACGTTGTGAGCAGGATCTGTCAAATCCCCAGGAGGTACAATCTCACCAAACCTCTTGGAATCAACATCAGCCACTCGCCAAGATCCATGCTGAGCTGCCGGGACGCCAGCAGCAACACCTGGTCTGTCCAAGCATCCACGAACCGTTGCCAAGGTCTCAGCTTGCTGTCGCAGGTCTGGGTATTCGGCCATCAGGTCCGCATTGTTGGGAATGTACATCTGACCAGCATATCCTGCAGGGTAAGGACCGTTCCTGGGCGAAGGCAAGACCGTAACACCATTGTAGTCTTCTTCATAAACGTCACCATCGGGCGATGAGATGATCCAGATCGAGCGATCCACACGATACCACAAGATTCGATGGTGATAGTCAAGCCCATGAAGATCTCCTGGAAACTCCACGAGCATCTGCATTTCCGGAATGTCTAAGGTTCTCTGAGCACCCGCCATGTTCAAGCCGCAACACCGCGACGAGCTCGAGAGACCGAACTGTCAGTGGAAGCAGGAGATATAGGCAAAGCTCTTGTTTGAGACTGCTTGACCACTCGTGCTGGGATGCGCGCAAAGTGTCCGAGCACAAACCCAACCGTATGAGCGAGAATCAGCAATATCACAAGCCACCACAAACCAAGTGGAGCTCTGACGGGCTGCCCTCTGGTCGTGGTAGTGGTAGTGATGCTATTGCCAACTGCCAGTGAGGTTTCAAGGCAGGACTGCACCAGATCTTTCACTATGCCAGCGCAGGAATCCAAATCCGATTTGGCTACCTCACAATGGCACCTGCACTCAGAAGGAGGATTTCCTTTAGTCCACAATAACAGGTGAGATGCCCAGTTGAGAACCTGCACGTAAACACCAATGGGGTCGCCCATGACACACTATTCCCCAGGAATCACTTGAGCACGGAAGATGCGGGCAGCAACTCAAGTTGGACGAACAAATTCGAGGGTCAAGGTGAATATATATATATATATATATATATTTTTTTTTGGACATGCTTCATGCCAATGCAGCGTTTCGCAAAATCGGGTACCCATAACACAGAACGTCCTTGGTATAAGAACATCGAGATACAGGTACCCGAAGCTATTGGTCCCGCAACCTAAACCCGACACCCTAAACCCAATGGTAGAAATCTGCACAGATAGATCGATAGATAGATAGAGACATAGATAGAGATATAAATATGTTTACCCTTTATATACATATATGTACAGATGTGTGTGGAAAGCAAAAACTATGTATACATATCAAGCCCTAAACCCTAAACCCTGAACCCCAAACCCTAAGCCCTAAACCCCTAACCCCTCAACCCTAAACCCTAAACCGCAGACCAGGCAGCTGCTCCACGATGCGCAGCGAGAGCGGCGAGCAGCGGTCGAGGATGCCACCGCCGCGGATGACCTCCGGGTGTGGAGAGAAGGCCCGGCAAGGGGCCCGGAAGGTAGGGTTTGAGGGTTTACGGGGTTTAAAGGGCTGAAGGGGTTTAGGGTTTAGGGTTTAGGGTTTAGGGTTTAGGGTCTAGGGTTTAGGGTTTAGGATTTAGGGTTTGGGGTTTGGGGTTTAAGGATTTAAGGGTCTAAGGGTTGAAGGGTTGAAGGGTTTGGGGTTTAAGCCTTTCTGTCTAGATTTCGAGGTTCGTCCCGAATTTAAGGTTTAGGGTTTAAGGGTCTAAGGATTTAAAGGTTTCATGGTTTCCGCAAGGGTTTAAGAGTCTAAGGTTGGGATGTTCCCCCTGATACCAACAGTCTAGGGGTTCTAGCACCCCCTATTATAATCCCTGTTAAGGACTGTTAGTCTAAACCCTGAACCCGAAACCCTAAACATCCCTAAACCCTAAACCTTAAACCCTAAACCCTAAACCCTACACCCTAAACCCTAAACCCCAAACCCTAAACCCTAAACCCTAAACCCTAAACCCTCAACCCTAAACCCTAAACCCTAAACCCTAAACCGTTCGAGGGGTTTAGGGTCCAACCGGAATCGGCCTCCAGTAGCTCGACAGGATCGGCGCCCAGCTCGGTTGCCGCAGCGGCCGCCAGCTGCGCAACACTCTCTTGGGCTCTCGCGAAACTGGGGTTTGGGGTTTGGGGTTTAGGGTTTAGGGTTTAGGTTTTAAGGTTTAGGGTTGACAACCAGGGTTTGGGGTTTAGGGTTTAGGGTTTAGGGTTTGGGGTTTAGGGTTTGGCGTTTAGGGTTTGGGGTTTAGGGCTTAGGGTTCAGGGTTCAGGGTTTAGGGTTTAGGGTTTAGGGTTTAGGGTTGAAAGCCTCTGAACAGTATTCCTAAGACATGATGCTCGCAAAATCCCAACAAGGGAAAAAAACAACATATCCCCCACATAGGTTTAGGGTGTTCCCGAAAATAGGGGTACCCGGTTTGGGGTTCCTAGGATGAGGGGTATTGCATTTTGGGGCAGATTCGGATGCCCCCTATGCTTGGGAAATGCCCAGATGACTTTCAGTTTTGGGGTTTATATAGCATGGTGGGTAAGGTAGTACGCTTTGGAGGGTCCGAATCATCAGCCGCCGCATTTAGGGAACTTCCACACAGACCGAGCACTTAAAACGCGAAGCCCGAAACCCTAAAAACCCCCAGGCCCGAAAAACCCTAGTAAAAGATGCTGGCGCAGCGGATCTGCAGTCCTAGCTTGCGTGGAATGACCCTATCATTGTTGCATGAGGCAAAGGGGTTTAGGGTTTAGGGCTTAGGGGTTAAGGTTTTGAGCCTTCGGTTTTTCTATGTTGTTGTTGGGGGGGGCGCGTGGTGAGAGGGTGGGGTGGCTGGTGGGGGGGGGGGGGGGGGGGGGGGGGTGGTCGGGGGCCCGGAGTTCAGACGGTTGAAGGATAGAGCCCCACCCCCCACCCAGACGTCCAAACCGGTGAAGGAACTTTCAGGGCCTCCTCAGCAGCGTCACCTGCGAAGTCACAAGGGTCCCATGTGAGCCATAAGGAACCAGGAGTTTAGGGCACAGGGTTGGTGGCTTAGGGTTTAGGCACACATAAGTATATATATATATATACATATATACGTATATATATATATATATATATATATATATACGTATATATATATATATATATATATATACATACATGTATATATACATATGGTGACGGATAATATAGTGGATATATTGAATAGCAATGGCATTCGGGGTAGTTTGCATTCGAACAATAAGAGGAGGGGAAGATATTGGAAATGATTCTGGCTCCTGAACGCTCCAGATGGTCTGTGGTGTGCTGTCTGCCTTCGACATAAAGCTGGGCACATTGAGGGCCAGACCTAAACCCTAAGCCCCACACCCAGCCTCCCTAGCGTCCGGCTCGGTGCTAACCTGCCTCCACCCTCCACACTCTGGCGGGTGGCGGCGGTACCATATGTGCATGAGATGCGGCGCGCGAAAAGGCCCTAAACCCGAAGCCCCAACCCTTAGAAGCCAAGCCCTCAACCTTGCCATACCCTCCCTGAACCCTAAACCCGAAACCCTGAAGCCTACATGGGGGGGAGGGGGGGGGGGGGGGGGGGGCGCACCTGGCGAGAGCTCGAGCACGACCACGGCATCCCGCAAGGCGGCTTTCCAATCCCTTGCGCCCGGGTTTTTGGGGTTTGCTGTTTGGGGGTTGGGGTTTATAGGGTTTAGGGTTTAGGGTTCAGGGTTTAGGGTTTAGGGGCTCGGATTTTGGGGTGGAGGGTTTAGGGTTTGGGGGTTTGCGGGTTGAGGATCGTCCAAGCCGCTCCTTGCAGGTTTGTGTTTTGAGGGTTGAGAAGGCTTCTGGAGTTTGTAAGGTCGATGCGGATGTGCCCTACGTGGGAAGGAAGGAAGGAAGGAAGGAAGGCAGGAGGGAAGGGAAGGAAGGAAAGCCCTAAACCCTAAACCCTGAACCCGAAACCCTAAACCCTAAACCCTGAACCCTACTCTGCAGCGTTGGCCTGGGTTTGATCGGGGCTCATGGGATTTCAGGCGTTCGGCGTTCCCTAAACCCTGACCCTAAACCCTAAACCCTAAACCCTAAACCCTAAACCCTAAACCTGTCTTTTTGTGTAAAGACGTGGGAAGCCAGCTCATGTCCTTCCCCACCACCTCGGATCCCCCCAAGCCAGCAAAGGCCATCAGGCGAAGCCCTGAAGCTCTAAACACCTGGGGGTTTACAGCCTTTGTTCTTTAAGGTTTAAGGTTGAGGGTTTAGGGTTTAGGGTTTAGGGTTTAGGGTGTAGGGTTTAGGGTTTAGGGTTTAGGGTTTAGGGTTTAGGGTGTAGGGTTTAGGGTTCAGGGTTTAGGGTTTAGGGGTCTGAAACCCCTAAGCCCGTCCCAAGCCCTCGATGCGCCTCAGGCCCAAGGATGCTTGTGCGCGGCAGCGGAGTAGGCGCACCGCCCGGCCCTCACAGGGGAGATGGCCCCTCAGGAGCCCCGTGACTGCAACACTAAACCATACACCCTGATGCCTGATCCCTAAACCCTAAGCCCTAAACCCTACACCCTAAGCCCTACACCCTACGCCCTACACCCTACACCCCAACCCTAAACCCTAAACCCTAAACCCCAAACCCTAAACCCTAAGCTGCGCTCCGCGCTTCGAAGGCGTCCCCGAAGCGCTGGCCGGAGCGGCAGAGGTCTTCCAAGGCGGCCGTGGATGCTGAGCCTGGTTTAGGGTTTAGGGTTTAGGGTTTAGGGTTTAGGGTTTAGGGTGTAGGGTTCAGGGTTCAGGGTTCAGGGTTTGGGGTTCAGGGTTTAGGGTTTAGGGATTGGGGCTTTGGGCTCAGGGTTTGGGGTTTCGGGTTGGCAGGGTACCTCAAGGTTCATGGGTAGCTTACAAGTGCCCAAAAACACGTGGTTACATGGGGAAGTGCCTTTAGCCCCCAATCATAAGGAACCACGGGGGGTGTAAGTTTTGGTGTAAAAGCCCATATGCCTCAAACAGGAAAGTACCAAGCAACGCAGGCCTTGGCACCCCAAACCCGAAACCTTACATGCCACAGTCTTTTTCGGGGGGGACGGAGTTACTTCCACCCCGTCTGTGATAGGTTTGGGGCAGGCTGGCCAGAGGACTCACATTTCCGCCGGCTTAAGGTGCAAAAGGCGCCCTAAAACCTAAACCCTAAAGCCTGAACCCTAAACCCTAAACCCTAAACCCTAAGCCCCAAGCCCTAAGCCCGAAGCCCTAAGCCTTAAGCCCTAAACTCTACTCTAAAACTCGAAAACCACGAAACCCTAAACCCTAAAACCCTAAAACCCTAGGACCCTAACTGAGGGCCAGGCTTGCGAGCTGCCAGTCCTGCAACATCTGGGCATGCCTAAACCCCCTCACACCTCAACCCTAAACCCTAAACCCTATTTTGGGGTTGAGAATTCAGGAGCCCAGAAGATGGCTTTGGGTTCAGTGGTTCAGGGCTTTGCGCTTGTATGAGTGAAGATTAGGGCTTAGGGGATTTGGGGTTTGGGGTTCAGGGCTTAGGGTTTGGGGTTAAGGGTTTGGGGTTTGGGTTCAGGGCCTAGGGTTTGGGGTATAAGGACGCCCCAAATAAAGGCCCACATTAGGGGGCCAGGCTTTGCAGACCGTGGAGCAAAGCGAGGGTTTAGGGTTTCTTGAAGCTTGCAGGGTTTGAGGTTGGGGCTTAGGGTTTAGGTTTGGGGTACCCTAAACCCTAAACCCTAAACCCTAAACTAGGGTCTGTTCACAAAGCGACATCAGCTCAGACATGCTCAGGGCGGTTCCTCTGCAGCCAGGGCTGTCTGCACTGAAACCTGCGCCACCAAGTCAGCTCCCAGTGTGACCATTCCAGTAAGCACGAGCAGTGCGGTTTAGGTTTTGGGTTTTGGGTTTTGGGTTTAGGGTTTAGGGTTTAGGGTTTAGGGTTTAGGGTTTAGGGTTTAGGGTTTAGGGTTTAGGGTTTAGGGTTTAGGGTTTAGGGTTCAGGGTTTAGGGTTTAGGGTTTAGGGTTCCTACACCCCAAGAGCATGAGGCTATTAAGGGACCGTTTCGGCACACTAACCCGCTAAGGCTTCTTCAGGCTTGTCTGGCCTTTTCAGGGGTTCCTTTTGGAAGGGTCTTGCTTGGGATCTAATGGTTCGGGCCTAACCCTAAATCCTAAACCCCTCATGGCACCCTAACGGTTAGGGTTCAGGGTTTGATGGGTTTAGGGTTTAGGATTAGGGTTCAGGGCACCCTAAACCCTAGACCCTAAACCCTAAACCCTAAACCCTAAACTCGGGTTTAGGGGCTTTACAGGCTTCGGGGGCTTTAGGGGGTCACGAGGATGGCCTCGAGGGCATCCACCAAGGCGTTCACGGCATCCGCGAGCACCTGTGCAGGGCCACGCAGGCGCCCCCTGAAACCCTGAAATCCTAAATATATATATATATATATATATATATATATATTATATATATGTATATATATATATATATCAGCCAACAAGCAATGTGCAGAAGAACCTGTTGTATGCATACAACCGTATGCTACGTGTGTATATATATATAGATATCTAAGCATTTCTTTATGTATTTGCTGATTGTTGGTACTAGTTGATTGTTATGTCTCGTTTATCTGTTTATATATGCGATATGATTTGATATCATATCATATGATGTGATAGTATATGATATGGTATGATATCATATGATATCATATGGTATGGTATGGTATGATATGATGTGTACAGTATGATACATATAGAGAGAGAGAGACAGATAGATACATCGATAGATAGATAGATATACGTATATGAAGATAAATGAAGTTCCATATGTACTACATTATACTAAACCCTTACACCCCTGAATCCTAACGCCTAACGAGACATTGCTGTTCGTCTGAGTACACATGGTCAGCACTTCTGGCGGATGACCTGGTCATTCTGCCAACGCATGCCATTCACACAAAGCCCCCACCACCAGCGGACGAGACGTGCGCGCCACCGAACCTCTCCGTCAGGCCCTCGCTCTCCCAACCACATGCCAGCCGCCCCTGTGGCGCCACTCGTGTACACCGTCCCGATGGTTAAATCTATTTCGACGAGTTTCTGAGCCCCAAGGCCGAAGCAGGACCGCATGATAAGGCGCGTGTGACAAGGTTTGCGTTCCAAGCGAGCAACTTCGCAAAGTGTTTGTCAGCTCAAAAGATAAACCAGAGAAAGTTTCAAACCTGCAGGGAAGAGCTTATTTTGGAGATGGCATAGGGCTTTGAGCGGCTGTTAGAGAAAGTTTACAAAGGGACTATAAGGGAATACTATTTGTAAGTATTGCGACCCCTGTATAAAGCCGGCGTGGGGAGCGTTTTGAAGGCGAAAAAACTTTCTGGAGGGCTTTGCTGCGCAGGCCGAGGGCCGGAAAGTGTCAGGTTTTGTTCCTTTTTTTGACTGGACTTACCCTTTGTCAGGGTTTAGATGAGGGTTTAGGGTTTCGGGTCTGCAGGGCCCTAATCTGCCCACACAAAAAGGCGGAGGATTTCTGGCTGGACAACCCCGAAGAGCCTGGAACGCTTCGATTTGCGGAGGAGGCTGCTCTGCCTGATGCCAAGTGCATGGATGGCTCAGGTGTCTAGGGTTCTATACTTTGGTTCATGGGTGACTGGTTATAGCCTTAGTTGGGGTACTTAAAGCCCGTCCGCTTTACTTCTACAACTACCCATGAACCTTCAAGTGCCTTAAACCCTACGAGAAATACGTGCAGAAAAGAAAAGAAAAGAAACAGCTTAAAGGATAATTCCAGAAGAGACCGAAACACAAGACCCTCAGGGACCGGCGGGCCAAAACCGGTTCATTCTTTTTGTGTACTCTTCATTTCTACTCATTATCCGCATCAGTATCATGACTATGCTATTTACACAAACTCTGCAATTTTAGGTCCCGCCTTGCAGGAAATGTCATTGGGCCTGCGGGCTCAGGGCTTAAGGGGCCGCATTACCACAGGGACCGCAGCCAACCCATACCGAAACAGGCACCTCCAGGGTCGAATTCAGAGCTCAGCGGGGTCCAGGGTGGCAGGGTGGCAGGGTTGAGGGGGTTTAGGGTGTAGGGGTTTAGGGTTTAGGGTTTAGGGTTTCGGGTTTAGGGTGTAGGATGTAGGGTGTAGGGCTTAAGGCTTGCAGGGTTCCGGGGTTTAGGGTTTAGGGCCACGCCTTGCCTGGTAGCAGCGCCAGGTGCACACGGGGACGGTGGCCGACTCCTGCACAGACAAAACAAGCTATGACAACAGATGGGTTTAGGGACTTAGGGATGAGGGCTTAGGGCTCATAGGGCTTAGGGGCTTAGGGCTTAGGGCTTAGGGCTTTTGGGGCTTAGGGGCTTAGGGCTCAGGGCTTAGGGCTTTCGGGGCTTAGGGCTTAGGGCTTAGGGATCAGGGCTTAGGGATTGTAGGGTTTAAGGCTTGGGGGAATTAGGTCACAGATCTGCCACACAATGTGCCACAAGGAAGGTGCAAAGGCTCCGTCGGGAGGCCGTAGAGCGCTTCCCCTTCTGGCGAAAGCAGCAGCCAGCCGTGCCTTACCTTAGCAGAGCTTGGGTTTCGAAGCTGAGAGTTTGAGGGTTTCAGGGTTTCAGGGCTTCAGGGTTTCACTTGAGGGTTTCAGGGTTTCAGAGTTTGAGGGTTTGAGGGTTTCAGGGCTTCAGGGCTTCAGGGTTTCAGGGTTTCAAGGTTTCAGGGTTTCAGCGTTTCAGGGTTTGAGGGTTTGAGGGTTTGAGGGTAGAGTTTAGGGTACCGAAAGGCTCTATAATTCATCTCCACCCACCAACTGCTTTCCTTCACCTACGCACGGCAGTAACCCTAAACCCTAAACCCTAAACCCTAAACCCTAAACCCTAAACCCTAAACCCTAAACCCTAAACCCTAAACCCTGCCAAGGCCAGGATGCTTTTCCCTTGTTCTGCTGCTCATCTCGCAGGATGCGGAAGCCTTCGGGGCGGACTTCGGACTTCGGGCTTCGAGTTGGCGCTTTGGCCCTAAACCCTAAACCCTAAACCCTAAACCCTAAATCCGAAACAAGTGTGGGGGGCTTCCCAACGTTATGGTCCTTATAAACGGGGTTATAGTTTGCGTATATAAGGGCGCCCCTACTGTGGAAAATACTCAATACTCCGGTGCACACAGGCCACCCCAGCCCTAAACCCAAAGAGGCAAGCCCTAAACCCTAAACCCTACACCCGAAACCCTAAACCCTAAACCCTAAACCCTAAACCCTAAACCCTAAACCCTAAACCCTAAACCCTAAACCCTAGACCCTAGACAAAAAGGTCTGGCCTGGCTGGCGCATGTTCTGGTACACAGGCGCCCCGAACTTCTCTTTGGAAGTTGCCTGCAGCAGAAAGGTCCAGACTTGGCCCCAAACCCAACAGCCCGTTCAGGGTTTGGGGTTTAGGGTTTAGGGTTTAGGGTTCAGGGTTCAGGGTTTAGGGTTTAGGGTTCAGGGTTCAGGGTTCAGGGTTCAGGGTTCAGGGTTCAGGGTTCAGGGTTTAGGGTTTAGGGTTTAGGGTTTAGGGTTTAGGGTTTAGGGTTTAGGGTTTAGGGTTTAGGGTTAGGCTTCGGGTTTAGGGGAATCAAACCCTGAACCCTCAAGAACCGAATTCCTAGACCCCTAATGTTCCACCCTCTTTCGTCAAGACCCCCGTGATTTAAGCCAAACTTGCCGGGCTACCCGGGATCTTGTGACTGTTTGGGCGGCCTCGCAATTAAGCGCATTTGAGTTCCATTGCCGGGCCTCGCTGCCCAATTGAAACTCATGTAACCTCCTTTTACGCTCAGATGGGGGTTTACAAAAATGCCCCTGATTTCGGAAACTGTCATTTGAAATCCTCTTTACAGACGGCAAGAACCCAGCTTCGACAGTTCAGGGTTGGGGGGGGGGGGACCACTAAAGAAACTGGAACATTACAGCCCTAAACCCTACATCTTCCATCCCAAAAGCCCTCAACCCTTAACCTGCCTGGTAGACGCCGTTGGCCGCCTGCTCTACAATGCTCTGGGCTTCGGGTGAAGGCTGAGACAGGCTAACAATGGGGTGAGGGGAAGGGGGATCTACATCGGGACCTTCCAAGATTTATCTCCAGTGCAGCAATAAGTATTCACTCCGGTGCAGTAACTTGGGTACAGAGTTTAAGTATTCCTTGTTCTTGCTATTCTTTGTATGTATATAGATATATATCATATATATATATACATATGTCGCACGTGCCATTACTGCGATTATCTGCCTTGAAGGTATACAAGCACCGCCCATGACCCGATCAGCCCCCCCAGGCATCGACTCTCTTGGCAGAGGCCTCCCGCCCGGCAGAGGCCAGGTGCAAAGCCACGACGCCTGGACAGGGCAAACAGTGCGTAGGGTTTGGGGGGTTAGGGGGGTTTTAGGTGGGTTTAGGTGGTTTTAGGTGGGTTTAGGGGGCTTAGGGGGTTTAGGGGGTTTGGGGGGTTTAGGGGGTTTAGGGGGTTTAGGGGGCTTAGGGGGTTTAGGGGTTTGGGGGTTTGGGGGGTGTAAGGCTTCATCGAGACAACCCGCACGCACACAGCCGACACAGTCTGGTTGCTGGAGTTCCTTTAATGAGGGATGTCGTATGTTGGGCCAGCTTAGGGATTCTCCCCTGTTGTTGGTTATACCAGTTCGCGCAGCAAGCCGGATAGTACAAGTGGCCCCAAACATGTTCCATAACTTCAACAGATGCACTTTTCGGTGCCAGGGTTGAGGATTCTGGGTTTGGGATGCAGGGTTTGGGGTTTCGGGTTTCGGGTTGGGGGCACCTGCGATCTGGAACAAGACCTTGCCGCATGCCATTGGTTTAGGGTTTAGGGTTAGGGTTCAGGGTTCAGGGTTCAGGGTTCAGGGTTCAGGGCTCAGGGTTTAGGGTTTAGGGTTAGGGTTTAGGCTTAGGGTTTAGGGTTTAGGGTTTAGGGTTTAGGGTTTAGGGTTTAGGGTTTAGGGTTTAGGGTTTATATAGGGTTTAGGGTTTAGGGTTTAGGGTTTAGGGTTTAGGGTTTAGGGTTTAGGGTTTAGGGTTTAGGGTTTAGGGTTTGAATAACTTGGACCGCGGCAGGCCTCCATTTCTTAAGCAAAATTCCATGCCCAACCGACTTAACTTGGACGACGTCAGGTCCTAACCCCTACCCCCCTAAAAACCCGAAACCCTAAACCCTAAGAACCCTACACCCGAAACCCTAAACCCTAAACCCTACACCCGAAACCCTAAAACCCTAACCCTGTAGCCCACTATGTAGCTGCCGCCTTTCTCAGGTGTGTCGTCCAGACCTCTTGGGAGCCGTGGGCCGTAGCCTCCCCGGGACAAACATGTTTTCATGATGGAAATTTTGGGCCCTTCTTCTTACCCTACACGATACGGAAGATGCTGATATTCAGCATAACAATCACCAATAAAATCGGAGTCACGGTACCCTTCTTGGGGCAGGACCCTGGCATTGGAGCCTTTGGGATGTGCTAGCTGTTGGGATGTGCCTTGCGTCGCGCGCTCTCGGGCGTCCGCATAGACCCGGATCGGTGCTTGGAGCATGGCGGCCAATCCGTGGCTGCTTGAACAGCTACCAAGAAAGCCAAATTATACCCCTTAGGTAAGAAATCGACCTCAAACGATATAAATCCTTAATGTGCCTTAAGGTATGTTGTTTTTCTTGAGGGCTATTGTGGGCTGTCTGGGAAATGTGGAGACTCGTGAAGAATCCAGTGCTTGAGCATCCCACGGAGTGGTGCCGAACTCCGCTTGCATCAATGGAGGTTAGGGTTGAGGGCTGAGGGTTTAGGGTTTGGGGCAGTGGAGGTTTAGGGTTTAACCCCAAGCCTACAGCAAAGCCACCGTAAACCCTAAACCCTAAACCCTAAACCCTAAACCCTAAACCCTAAACCCTAAACCCAAAGGCCGCGCCGAGGGGGAGCCCAGCGCGCCTGGCGCCCAACGGCTCCGAAGTATCGCCTCAGGGTCCCATGTTAGGGTTTAGGGTTTAGGGTTTAGGGTTTTAGGGTTTTAGGGTTTAGGGGTTTAGGGGTTTAGGGGTTTAGGGGTTTAGGGGTTTAGGGGCTTAGGGGTTTAGGGGTTTAGGGGTTTAGGGGTTTTAGGGGTTTTAGGGGCTTAGGGACTCAAGACTAAATTCTGAACCCCCCCCCTGTTGGGGTCTCGGGAGGGCGCGGGGGTCGCTCTGAACCAGGGACCTCTTTCCTGGAAGCAACTCCTGGGGTTTAGGGTTTCGGGTTTAGGATTAAAATTTAAAGTTGCGGGTTTCGGGTGCGGGGCTCAGGGTATGGAATCCCCTGTAAACGGAACCCCCCAGGCCGATGGGTGAAACGACTCGACACGGAGAAATCCTGCCTCGCTCTCCATCTTTGCTGCTGCTCTCGGCCTTCTCTTGCAGGAGCCTGCGCTGCCCGGTAGAGAGCACACGCAACTGAACCCCTCAGTCGTTGAACCCCTAAACCTCAAAAACCCACCCCAAAACCCAAAAAAAACCCTAGACCCCTCAATCCCTGAACCCCTAAACCCTAAACCGCTCAACCCCTAAACCCCTAAACCCCTAGACCCCTAGACCCCTAAACCCCCTAAATTCTGGGAAGCCCGGCAACTCCGCATTCTCCACCTTCTGCTTGGAGTTGTTCCTTGAGGGCGCCTTCACAAACTCGCAGAAGCTCTGACTGCAAAGCTCTGGGGTTTAGGGTCTACGGTTTAGAGGATCGGGTGGAGGAGCTCAGGATTAACGGGTTCAGGGGTTTAAGGTCTAGGGCTTCGGGCATTAGAACTTTGAAGGACATTCTTATCTTCACGTCCACAAAGAAGGAGGAATCACCACGTGTTCAAGCGCCACGAGGCCCTCCGCCAATTCATGCGCACCGGCCGAGGACGTTTGCCGGGAGGGGTTCCTATACAGACGCCAGAAATGGCGAGTTTGTGGGTAGGAAATTCTTTTGTCTTTCCTCCGGCGTCGAAGCATGTCTTGAAGGCTTGTCCCACGACATCTCTCAGTTGAGTTGGGGTTTGAGGTTCAGGGTAGTACACAATCTAGGGGAAAGGGGTTTACTCCCCAAACCCGCCAGCGGGGGGGCTTTCGCTCGCACGACGCCACTGGGACAACTGAGGGTGGTATCCTTTGCCTTCTGGCCCCGAGCGAGCCGAAAATCCAATGACTCAGGGGTTCTGGGCCAATTCGCCAGAGTGAGTTCTTAAAAGCTGGCCAGAAGCTTGCCAGGAACCAGAAACCTTGGAAGGCGACGTAATCAAGGAAAGGACCCAGACCGCCCCCAGTGCAACCATTGACGGGGGATATCCGTGGCCTTCTGGCCCAGTGTCTCAAGTGTTCCACGTGACTCCCACATGCTCCAAACCCATGAAGTGTCCGAGTTTCCCATAAGTGGCTCAAGTGTCCCCTAAACATGTGTCATATGGGGGGGGGTTCCGAAAATAGGGGTACCTTGTTGGGGTCCTATAAGAGAATTATATTGGGGTCCCCTGTTTTCGTAAACCCAATATGTGAATCTTGAGTGGCTTTGGCTTGGCTTGGGCTGGCTCCGGTGTGTGGTTCGCTGCGAGTTGTGAATGGGTGGCCTTTGGGGTGGGCATGTCTTCAGAGCAACTATTGCGTTCAGCTGGCCAATGCTACACCCTACACTTGGACTCACAGTCCTCGGTAGGGATTACAGTACCTCCTACTAGAATCCATACTAAGGACTGTTAGTATAGGGGGGAAATCCCAACCCTACACCCTAAACCCTAAACCCTAAACCCTAAACCCTAAACCCCACAATGCGGAGCAAGACCCAGCTTTGCCTCGGACGCGACCAGGGAAGGCCGGCGGCTTCGGGGAGTGATCTGGGCGTGGGAATTTCGAGAGGTTTGGGGTTTAGGGTTTAGGGTTTAGGGTTTTTTTGGTTTAGGGTTTAGGGTTTAGGGTTTAGGGTTTAGGGTTTAGGGTTTAGGGTTTAGGGTTTAGGGTTTAGGGTTTAGGGTTTAGGGTTTAGGTTTAGGGTTTAGGGGTTTAGGGTTTAGGGTTTAGGGTTTGCGGCAACAGAATGAGGGCCCAAGCTGGTAACTTGTATTACTTCCTAAACCCTAAACCGCCCCCCCTAAGATCAGATCCCTAAACCCCGCCCCCCCCCCCCCCCCCCCCCCAAACAAACAAAAAAGAAACAAGACAAACAACCCTAAACCCTAATACCCAAAACCCTAAAACCCCGAACCCCTAAACCCTAACACCCCTAAACCGCTGAGAGCCCCTTCACCGACCGGGGCCGCAGCTGAAGTCGATCGGGCAGAGATGCAGGTTGCAAAGGACCTGGGTTCAGGGTTCAGGGTTCAGGCTTCAGGCTTCAGGGATTTTTTGGTTTAGGGTTTAGGGTTCAGGGGTCAGGTTTAAGGTTTAGGGTTTAGGGCTTAGGGTTCAGGGTTCAGGCTTATGGTTTAGGGTTTCGAGCTTCCGAGTTTAGGCCAAGGTTTCAGGGCTTGGGGTTTAGGCTGCTTTTGGGCGGCCTCCCCTCTTCGGCCTGCTGTACGCAGAGCGATGGCCTGAGAGAGTAAGAACCGTCCAACATACCAAGCTTTATCAGCACGCCCCAAACCCCAAACCCTAAACCCCAAACCCTAAACCCTGAACCCCAAACCCTAAACCCTAAACCCCAAACCCTAAACCCCAAACCCTAAACCCCAAACCCTAAACCCCAAACCCTAAACCTAAACCCTAAACCCTAAACCCTAAACCCCTGAAAGGGTCGAATCTCACAGGGCGGAGCCTGGCCGAGCTCGGCGAAGGCGGCGTTGCGCCCTCCGCGCTGGGCCTCCCAAGGGAACAAAAGAGGGGCGGCCTTTGGGTTAGGGTTTAGGGTTTAGGGTTTAGGGTTTAGGGTTTAGGGTTTAGGGTTTAGGGTTTAGGGTTTAGGGTTTAGGGTTTAGGGTTTAGGGGTAGGGTTTAGGGTTTAGGGTTTAGGGTTTAGGGTTTAGGGTTTAGGGTTTAGGGTTTAGGGTTTAGGGTTTAGGGTTTAGGGTTTAGGGTTTAGGGTTTAGGGTTGACAGCGCCCTGGACGTTGGGGCCTTGCCAGATGAAGCGGCAGCACTGGCGGGGAGCCCCTCACAGTGAAGCGCGATGGGCGACTTTGTTTATACATACATACACACACACATATATATATATATATGTTTATTTACTTTTGTATTTTCTTTATTTACGTCCTACTTGAGTGTATGAACTTGTCAGCTTTTCGTTTCTATCGTGTAGACTGGATTATGTTATGCTCTAATGTATAACATTGTATTGTCCAAATGTGTATGTGTGGTGTCATACGATGTACTATGATACTGCACATATCTCTCTCTCTATATATATATCTATATATATATATATATAGAAACATATCAATATATATGGGGACAAATGGGAGTTTCCGAAATTAGGGGTACCTCATACGGGTCCTTTTGGAAGGGAATCCTACTTTGGGGTGGGGGGGGGGCTATACTTGCGTCCGTTAGTGTCGTACGAGTACACCTCCCCGCATAACGATGTCATCTGCCACTTCTTCGTCTTCTGGCGCTGCTCAGCACCCCGCGTGGTGGCAGCTGGCGTGCGAGTGCCATTGGCAGCCTGCACCCAAATCAGCCCAGCATGGCTGTGACCCAGCCATCAAGGAGCCACGGAGTGATCCTGGCCTTGCTCGGCGTCTCGTGCAGTAGACATCGGTGCAGCACCTTGCTGGGGACAGAAGAAGGTTTTTTGGGGTTTGGGGTTTAGGGTTTAGGGCTTGGGGTTTAGGGTTTGGGGTTTAAGATTAAGGTTAGGGTTAGAGTTTAGGGTTTAGGGTTTAGGGCTTAGACCGCCAGGATGGTGGCCTGCTGTCGGACAGACAGTTCCGTCTGCCACTCCTCCACAGGGTTGTGCCAGGTACCTCAGCGCACCCATTCAGTCAGCAGTATGCTGAGGGTTCAGGGTTTAGGGTTTAGGGCTTCGGGTTGAGGGTCTGGGGCCCTTCAGTCAGGATTTACCTGGAGTCAGGATCCCCAGAAAAGCTGATTCTCGGGAGGAAAGAAATGAAATCAGGCTACAGGGTTGAGATTATCAGGAGTACCTTAAATCAGGACCCTTACATAGTTGCCTGAATGCAGGTGTATTGGGCTCTCTGGGCCCAGGCCGCCAATTGCACAAAGCCTGCTCCTGAAAGAATACCTCAGAATCATACTAAGGATCCCTATCTAGCTTAAGGTCTATTCCTGACTTACCCTAAACCCTAAATCCTGAACCCTGAACCCTAAACCCGAAACCCTCAACCCTGAACCCTAAACCCTATTCCTGAACTAAGCCGGAAAGAAATTCCAGACCAGGATCCCAGGGGTCCTTCAATACCCATTGTGTAAGGAATCGGGTGATAAAATTGAGGTTTTTGGATTCAGAGTTTTTGGACCCCTAAAACCTAAACCCTAAACCCTAAACCCTAAATTACGAGGGCGTTTAGGGATCCTTAGAATCGGGATGCAAGGCAGAGGCCCAAGCTCGCGCCGTGCTCCGCATGATAAAAGTACTCGCC